AGACTACACAGCGACAGCCTGACTCAAACCGAACAGCAAATGATAGATAGATAGATAGATAGATAGATAGATAGATAGATAGATAGATAGATAGACAGACAGACAGATAGATGGTAGGTAGGTAGATAAATGGTAGATAGATAGATAGATAGATAGATAGATAGATAGATAGATAGATAGATAGATAGATAGATAGTAGGTAGATAGATATTAGATAGGTAGATAGAGAGTAGGTAGATAGAGAGTAGGTAAGTAGATAGATAGATGATAGATAGATAGATAGATAGATAGATAGATAGATAGATAGATAGATAGATAGATAGATAGATAATAGGTAGATAGATAATAGGTAGATGGAGAGTAGTTAGGTAGATGATAGATGGATGGATGGATGATAGATAGATAGATAGATAGATAGATAGATAGATAGATAGATAGATAGATAGATAGATAGATAAGGAAGAGAGAAATAGTAGTCACAGGAATTGAGAGGCTGCTGGAGAAAAGCTTTACCCACTGTGGGCAACTTTCAGAGTACTTGATGTTTATTCTGTTGGGATTCCCCCCCGCCCCTTAATCTCTCTTCCATTTCTTCTTAGAATCTTTGATTCTCATTTTCTTCAAATGGACTGTAAACAATTTTCTCTTGTCTTAGCATAGCAATGCCTTTTGGTCCCCCAAATCTCTCTCTGTCTGCATCCATTTTCTGGCTCTGCTGGTGGTACTGTTTTGCCTGGTGATGGATGTATGACTAAACTATATGCTACATTGTCTGTCACCTAGAACACCATTGATGTTGGGCTGTGCTCTGAGCATTAATTAGATAACCTTAGCTCTTCTTTTTTAGTGTCCACATTACATGTTTAATTCATATTCTATGAGTTTTTAATGTCACTCTTAGCTTAAGGAAAATGCACCTTTATCTAAACTCACCATCAATGAGTTTCAGTAGAAGTAATATTTTATTGCATGTATTACCATAATTTGCCTTATTATTTCTTTGGGAAATTTATATATTTTTAGTGTTATAAACCACATTGCAGAGTGATATGTTTGTAGATAGTGTGAGAAGATGAACTTAATCTTGGGAACTTTGAAGACTATAATGAGGTGTATAGACATTATCTCTTTGTCTTCTATGCCAAAGATAGTATGATTTGCTTGTGTTGGTAATCTTGAGTCCTTCCATGTTGGTGCAGAGAAAGCTTTCATAGCCCCCTAGAGGCCTAGATTGTGGCCATAGCACAGCACATTTCCACAGTCCTCTTGCACTTCACAGTGATACTACTGCAGTGGATAGTCTCACGTCCCTGCCATTGCGTGGAGGGACAGCCATATTTACAGGATAAATAATGATGGCAGCGGTTGGGTGGGAGGGTCAGAGACTGAATGAGTCTGTAGTCTTGGTGGGCATTGCCAGGTTGTGTTCCTTAGGAATGGCTTTGCTTTGTTCTTCCCCCAGCAATATGTGGAAGTGCCCGTTTCCTTACTCCTGACAATGGACTCGTGTGGCAACGCTTTACGTTCTCCCATGCCTCGCCAGCCCCATGTGAAGTTCTGACCATCAGCTGCTCTAAATATTCCTTTGACGTTTAACTGCAAACTGGTATTTCATCATTGCTTTGTTCTGCTTTGATTTGGGGGACTGATAAAGTTAAATGCTGGAAAAGTCTCTTTATTTCTTATCTATTCTTTCTGTAAATTTGTCCTTTGCTTATCTTTATACTGATTCTCAGCTATTTTTAATAGTTGATATTAAAATATTTTTTAATTTTTTAAATTAAATATTAATACTGGAGATATTAAAATATTTTGTTGAAAATGTTAAAATATTTTTTTCAATTTTTTGGTATTTTCTTTTATTTCTTAATATAAAATAACTTTATATTGGCAAATAATTTGATCTTTTACTTTCATTTATAGTTTTGTGGGATTTTCTTTGTTGTTTTTTTTTTTGTTGTTATTCTATCTTTCTTGGTTTTTCTTTTTCTTTCTTTCTTTCTTTTCTTTTCTTTTTTTTTTTTTTTTTTTTTTGAGACAAGGTTTCTCTGTATAGCCCTAGCTGTCCTGGAACTCACTGTGTAGACTAGGCTGGCCTTCAACTCAGAGATCCACCTGCTTCTGCCTACCAAGTGCTGGAATTAAAGGCATGTGCCACCATGCCTGGATGTTTTTTGTTTGGTTTGGATTGGGTTGGGTTTTTTGTTTGGTTGTTTTTTGTTTTTATTTTGAGGCAGGTTCTCAGGTAGCCCAGGCTGTCCTTGAACTCAGTATGTAGCCAAAGATGGAATTGAATTCATGATCCTCTGCCTCCATCAACCAAGCACTGGGATCACAGGTACACACCAGCACACTCAGCCTCATTTATAGTTTTAAATTTTAAAATTCTTATCCAAAGATCTATGAATATTATTTTTCACTGTTGTTTGTAGGATGATTCTGTAAATTTTTTGAAAACCTCAACGCTAATCTATTTGGAGTTCATTTTGATCCATTTACAGCAGCATTTAACACTTATTAAGCATCAGTCTTTCTAAGGATGGTTTAGCGTGTGTCGAGGTCTACTTTCCTATTAGAAATGGCATGAGTTCTGAGAAAACACAATGGATAATTTTCCCCTTAATCATGGTTTTGGATGATAAGCTTTTCGGAGTGGGAATTTTATTGTAAGAAGGTTCTTCACTCATAATGTTTTTATCCTAATTTGAAACATTGATATTAGAGCTGAAGCCAAAGTCAATGTAAGTGCTTTCACTCCAGCAAGTCCGTTTTGGTAGAAGAAATGGCCTCGAGACCTCTCTGGTAGCTGGCTATGCTGTGTGTGGTACCATGTGTTTACATCCCTCTCTGGATTGCTCAGATCACATACACAGCTGTCTTGATCATTCTGGCCGTCATCTTTCCTTCTGTAGGAAACTGAGCTTTGATTGAGCTCAGTTTGAAATGAGAGCCTGTGAAGTTAAGCTCATGAGCAAGCACGAAGGAGGGGACAGAATTTGTAGTCTGACTGGGTGCTGGGCTTCAACAGTCTTGCAGTACAGAGTCTGTCTGTGTTGAGAACAAACATCCTTATCTGGGGCACCTGTTTTCATTCACAAGGCCTGTGACCCCAGATATGCTGGGGTGTTCTCTGGTCTCTGTATTTCCTCTTGCCTGTCTCATTTCTGACCTTCTGTATCCTGTTCAATAACTAAAACACATAAAAGAGAGGGATTCTCTTTTCTAGAAGGGTGTTCCAGCTGCTGCCCCTGCCAAGTTCTGCCTGGAGCTTGGGGAAGACGATGTATTTATGAGGATTTGCATCTCATTCTTCTGAATCAGCCAGGTTAATTGCAAAATATTTAAAGTTTTGACAATTGTGTGTTCCCCTTGACTTCCTCTACTTTAATAATCAGCAAAAGAGCCAAGTTAGCTGTTTTGTATTTTAGAATCCAAATTATTGTCCATGTGTTAATGGATGAGACAAAATTAAAGAATTGTTTGCCAGATGTTTTTAGTTTCTTTAAAATTGATCTGTGATCTATTGAGGGTTTAGATGAGGAAGTGCCTATATCTTTTTCATTCTGAAAAGCATGGTATTAGGAAACATTGGGGGAAATTCTCATTCTAAATAGTAAGGAAAGAGGGTTGTGAGTTCCAGGGGTGCTGGAGAAGATTGTGCTTGGTTATTTTATGGACACATGGTCTCATGTAGCCCAGGCTGGCCTTGAACTCAGTATGAAGCTTAGGATGACCTTGAACTTGCAATCCTTGTGTCTCTACCTCCCAAGTGCTATGATTACAGGCCTGTACCGCCACTCCCAGTTTTGTTCTATTTATTTACTTTAATGCAGAGTTGGGAGTTGAACCTAAGCTAAGCTAGCACTCTGCCCACCCCCTTGTCACCCCCCTCAGTCCCCACTACCACAGCCATATCTCCAGCACAGGTCGCACTTTTGAAGGCTTCAGCCTCTGATAAGATTTGTAATGAAAATCATGTCAGTGTGTCCTGATCCAATCTTCAGCAGTGTGCTCACCAAGGAGGTAGTGTGTTGTATGGGGCATGGAGAATCAGCCTTTCAGCTTGTGGGCCTCTAGGTACTGGCTCTAACTGGAAAAATATTATTGAAGAATTCAAGAGTGAGCCATTATATTAACAAGTTTTACTCTGTAATTTCTAAGAATGAAAGCATGGCCACATGGGGCCTGGAGAGATTGCTCAGTGGTTAAGAATACAAACTGCTTTTCCAGAGGCCTGGGATTCAATTCCCATCACCCACATCTTACAACCACCTGTTCCAGGGGGATCTGACTCCTCTGGACTCTGTGGGCACCTGCACTGCAGTCATGTGCAACACACACACACACACACACACACACACACACACACACACACACACTTTAAAATAATTTTTAAAATAAAAGCATAACTTCATGTGATGCCAGAGTCTGGGCAAACAAAGCGGGGAAAGTCTCTCAGCTGAATAGTTTCAGATAAGGAATTATACCTAAGATCCACAATGAAAGAGAGACTGCCATTTATAACAAAGCCCAGAAATATTCAAACTCCTCTTTCCTGTTGGTTCTGCGTCTGTCACTAAGCTGAGGCTGGAGATGATTAACAATGAAGAAAGGTTTGTTTCTGCTCATAGCTTTAGAGACTCTGCTCCGTGACCAGATGGCCCTGTTGCTCTGGACCCCTGGAGCAGATGCTGAGTGGCAATGGGGAGGGGTGCAGGGGTACAGGGGTGCAGGGGTATAGGGGTGCAGGGGTGCAGGAGTACAGGGGTATAGGGGTGGGCAGGGAGATAGCAGAGCAAAACACTTAGCCATAACCGTGAGGTGAACAAGGAAGAAGACGGGACTGGAGCCCTGTGGTCCCCTCTCCAGGCACATCCCACATGACTTGGTGTCTAAAGCCCACCTCCCATGGCTCCGCTGCCTCCCGTTAGTGCTCCCCCCCCGCAACAGTCCCTTTATTAACACAGGGGCCAGGAGAGGACGTTTACCGTTTAGACCATGGCAACGGTTGACACAGAGCAAGTGTGGTCAGCCCTGCTGTATGTGTGCGGCCAGCACTAACACAGCAGGCTGTTGAGGCAGAGCAACCGTGTTTTATTTCAGGAACCTCACATTTTTCTCATCTACACTTGTGCAAATGCTTGTCTTTTTCTTTTAATGAAAAACATGCATCCCATTTTAACATAATAGTTTCCATTTCACTCTATTTGAAACAGTTGGATTTAGTAATAAGATTATGTTGCAAATGCCCAGAAGGGTGGAAAAACGATTCTACATTTTATTGCACACACAATGTAGACAATAAGTCACGTGTTTGGGGGAAAATGGGAGAGAAATCTTTGCTTAACCTATTTGTTACCAAGTAATAGTGTAACAACATCTGTTTGGCCAGTTTTGCTTTTTAAATTTCCTGTTCCAGTTAGAAGGCACCTCCCTTTCTAGTCACCCATGGAAGTCACGTGTGCACATCTGTGACTGCACGTTCGGACAGTTCCGGTGACTGTGGCTCTGGAGACGTGGAGCTGTGAGTCATGTACAGGCGAGGTGTGCCCTTGATTTGATGCCAGCCTGAGAATGAGTCGTCACTCACTTTACGGCCGCAGCCTTCTTCCCCAAGCCTTCCCGTTCATGGAGGAAAGCTATTTTGTGTTTTAAAAATCCATTTAAATATTTCCCTGGGCGGAGTGTACACATAGGATTTCTGCAATTACACAAAATCACATGTAAGTGAGGGAGTGGCCCTCTGTAACAGGAAATGATTCCCCCACTGTTTGTGGGTTGTATGTTCAGATTAAAGGAAACTTGAAAAAGAAAAATGAAAACCACATCTAGTCTCCCTCTCCTAGTTGGAATCTATAATTTGTTTATAAGATGGTAGACTTTTGTTTGCTTTCATCTTTTTTGTGGGGGAATATTGAAGAGAATCTCACCACGTAGCCCACTCTAGTTAGGAACTCAGGATCCTCCCATCTCAGCTCCCACCCCACCCCCACCAAGCGCTGGGATAGCAGGCATATGGCACCACACCCAGCTTGGTTTTGTTAATAGTTTTTTTAAGTTCCTATTGTCTAGTTGAAATGGTAACAAAGAAGAGAAGATCTCCCAGCCCACTCATCCCCACCCCAGCACATGGCAGTGCCATGCCCTGGGGACAGCAGTGGCAGCTTTCTGATTTCCATTCTGATTCAAGCGGACCAGCTTTTCCCTCATTCCCATCTATTGCAGGGTATTTGATCACACTGTGTGAAGATGCATCCTTCCTCACTGCCTAAGGCGTCTTCTGGTTGGTTTAATAAAGAGCTGAATGGCCAATAGCTAGTCAGGAAAGGATAGGTGAGACTTCTGGGGAAAGAGAGAGGAACCTGGGGAAAAATTCGAGAGGTGGGAATTGGCCAGCAAGACGCAGAGGAAGTCAGATGTACAGTATGGAGGAGAGGTAACAAGCCATGTGGCAGAATGTAGATTAATATAAACGGGTTAATTTAAGTTTTAAGAGTCAGTTGGGAACAAGCCTAAGAGAAGGCCAAGCTTTCATACTTAACAAAAAGTCTCCATGTTATTATTCGGGAGCTGACAGTCCAAAGAAAGACCTGTTAAACCCATCTACACAATCAGACAGCATCATCAACCCTCCAGTTGGAACAGTGGCAATTCGGCTGCTTGTGTTGTATCGCATTGCATTTTAGTATTATTCTAGTTTTAAAGTGTCAGCTATACATGAGCTTTAGGGCTCCACATCCTTGTGTAACAGCATCTCCTTGAGCTCCACTTTGTCATGCAAGATTATGAGTTCTTTCACTTCTTTTCTACCCTTTATCCTTTCCTTCCATTGTCTCCATGTTAGCTACAGCTTTTTCCTGTGCATGGCCAAGGTCACTAAAACTTATGGTCCCCTACCCCTCCGTGACCACACTCACAGTTGACCCAGGGTGACCCTGAACTTTGAAATCCAGTACAGAGCACTCACTGCGGTGAGGACTATTCAGTGTTGGTATGAGTATCCTGCTATTCCATGCCTCTGTAGTGATGCAGTGTAAACCTCCTGGCTGTTCCAAAGAGCTTTTCTACCATTGCAGTCCGTTAGTGCAACTTTCCTAACACTTAAATTCATTCCGCATTATAGTTTGTCCTGTATATGGGCCATGGTTCATGTGTACACCAGATACTTTTCAGAGTTTCTAACTGCTATTTTCTAATCAAATCATTTGTTGTTATCAAGCCCCGACTTGTGCACATGCTCCTTTAATTCTGCAGGCTGACTTTTGTAGGCAGAGTTTTCTTTCCTGTCAGTCAGTTCCCCAAATAACCACTCAGAGACTTATTATTAATTATAAATGCTTGACTATAGCTCAGGCTTATTGCTAACTAGCTCTTACAACTTAAATTAACCTGTTTCTATTAATCTATGTGCTGCCCCAAGTCTCGTTTACCTCATCTATGAACTTCCTATGTTGCTTCTTCTGCATCTGGCCCGAGACTTCTCAGACTCCGCCCTTCTTCCCAGCATCCTCCTAGTGTGGCTCTCCTGCCCAATCTCTTCCTGCTCAGCTATAGACCAGTCAGCTCTTTTATTAAACCAATCAGAAGGTGCCTTGGCAAAGACACACTTTCACAGTGTACAAAAGAATTATACTATAACAGACTTTCTTTTTTGGAGACCTTTAGAAACATCAGTATTTCTTTTCCAGTCTAGACTAATTATTTTCTAGGCACATGTCAGTGTGGTTATTCTGGGATCCACATGTATCACTTTCCCTGAGATAGACTATTTTTGTATGTTTTGGCTTCCTTGTTCCTTTATTTTGCTTGAATATTTTCTTAACTCTTTGAGAAAAATATGCATGCTAGGCAAATTGTCAAATCTTACTTGTTGATGTGTATGTTTATTCTACACTCATAAAAAACTGATAGTTTAGATGGGTATAGAATTCTGGTCATGATCTTCTTTTCATCCAGTATCCCTTGCAGTTTGTGAAAAGGACCTGAAGGATCTGCCCTTTCTCTCAGGTGCCTTGTTTTATTCTCTCTGAAACCATTTAGGATTTCCACATTTTATTACTGATATTTTGAAATGTTACATTTATTCATATGAGAAAAGGAGGCAACTGGATGGGGTTTCTTCTGTTTCTGTCATTGATTATTTCCCAGGCACATTTCTTTTCTGTGTAGGATTCCATAACAAAGCTCTTGGAGCAGCTCTGAGATCCCTTTTAGGGTCGGCTCATGGCTTTGGACTCCAGCCTCCCAGTGTCAGAATGACTTCTTTTGATTTCCAGATAGTGAGTTCAGTACTTCCCTCAGTGTCAGAATGACTTCTTTTGATTTCCAGATAGTGAGTTCAGTACTTCCCTCCTCCAGCCTATCATTCTTATGAGAATACAAATCACTCTATTTCCCTAGTTAAGTCTCTGAGCACCTTCACATCCTCCTTGTCCTGTCCCTCTGCAGGACACTGGTGTCTCTCTCTAGTTCCCCGGTGTTCTTGCCCTCCCCTGTTTCCCAGGTATCATTGGAATCTCTCTTCTCTGTGACCACCAACACCCCAATCCTGCTTCACTTCCTCTGTTCCCTTTTCTCTACAGTTTTGCCTTCATTGTATTTTTACATCTTTATTTCTGTGGGAATCTCAACAGTGCTGGGAGGCAGACACTGTTCTGCCATTTTGAATCCTTCCAGACTGTTTTTAGGAAAGCTGTCAGCTCAGTTTTCATTTGTGGGTTGTTTCTGGGGTATAGTGTCCTGTTTCCCTGGTGTCTCCTCAGTTAGATTGAAAACCTGCAAGAGGTGCAGGGCTGTACCCATATCATCCTGCTGCTTCTCCAGAGCCACAGTCCCAGTGTGAGGCATTTCAGACGAAAGTGCTGGTGTGAAAAGCAGACTGCCTCCAATTCCTCCCTCTCTCTGATGGCACCCTCACCTTCTCAAGCCTCCCCCCTCTAATGACACCCTCACCTTCCTAAGACCCCACCCAGGCACCATCAGTTTTCCAAGCCCTGCCCCCCCCATGGCACCCTCACCTTCCAAGCCTTTTCTTCTGTTCCCTCATCTTTCTCCCATTTAGCTTCTTCTCTGCATCCTCTCCCAGTCTTCCCCAGTCTGAGGAGGTAGAGCAGCTGTTTCCCGGGACAGTCTCCCCTTGCTGTCCTGAGGCCCCCCACGGCAGCATCTCACTTCTCCTTCGTGACCCTGCTGCACATGGCAGTTCTCTCGAGATTGGTTTTGAAAGTGTTGAAACTTAACAATTTCCGGTTCACAGCCTGTCTTGCTTTGTCTCCATTCCTCCTTTTCCCCATATCATTCTGAAGTAAATCCCAGATGCCGCATCCTTTCTTTCACAGATGTTTTAGTATGTGGCTCAACAAGGGCCCTTCATAAATGTGAGCACAATACCATTAGCACACCCGAGCTACTAAAGGCTGTAACGGATCCAGTGAGTACAAATGTCCAATTGTTTAACAATTTCCACTAATACTCTCTGTTCAATGCATCAAGCTGGGATCCCTGTGAAGTCCAAAAGTCACTGTTGGTTGATATGCCTTTTAAATCCCTTCTAAATATACAGGCTGCCTCTCCATCTCCTGGAATTTTATGAATTGTTTCAACTATTTCATGTAATTTCTTACATGTCTCACTACATATTTATTTTATTCTGAATCTATTGAACTCTGTTTGTATAAAAAAAAAAAGTCAGAAAAGAGAATCTGATCATCTGAGACTTGGTAGAGATGTGGCCGGCCATCTGACACAGTTCTTTTGTGCTATGTGATTGGAAAGCCAGTCAGTTGGGAGCTCTTTAAAGGACCAGGTATATAGAATTACAAAGTCTGCTTTTGTAAGAATTACACTTATTTGCAAATGCATACAGATAAGTGTGTGTGAATGTGTGTATGTGCATTGTGTGAGGGCGTGCGTGCGTGCGTGCGTGCGTTCGTGTGTGTGTGTGTGTGTGTGTGTGTGTGTGTGTGTGTGTGTGTGTGGTATTGTAGCGCATACATGGAGGTCAGAAGACAGCTTGCAGGACCACGTTAACTCACTTTGCCAGTCTCGGCTGCACATCTGACTCATCTCATTGGCCCTTCAGTGTGCTTTTGCAAGGTCCAAAGGAGCAATTCTCACAAATCCTAAAGTGTGATAAAATAAGATTTTATATTCAAGTTAGAATAACTTTATGTTGTCTGGTTTTACCCTTAGTAAACCAATAAATAACCCCACCATCTAAAGATGGGATCAGAGCCTATAAGATATTACATCAGACTAAGAACATTTCACAGCCTTTCCAGCATGTTAATGCTTAAGTGGCATGAATGAGAGCAAGGCCTCATTTGTCTCAAGCATCACAGCTGTCTCATGTTGCTTCGACATCTGTTTTCTTTGGCACAGCAGTTTTCATTGATGGAGTCCAATCTTGTCCTTGCCTAATTCTTCTTCTTAAGTGATGGACAGCATGTACAAAGTGTTATCATTGTAATGAATCAAATAATTGTCTCCCCTTTTTTGGCCAGAAATAAACTTGAAGAGAGTTGAACCTTCAGAGTGAAATGTGAAATGAGAGCTTTCTCTTTGTTCACTCTGCTCATTTTCTCCTGGTCTTAGGAGCTGGGAATCCCAAGTGTAAAATTGCAATTGTCTTGGGAAGAACGGAAGCTGCTTCTGTATCCAGGTAATAAAGCGGTTCTGATG